GGGCGATGGGGATCTTTAAGTGGGCACGTTGGCACCCGTAATGAGGCGCGGCGGCAGCTCTGCTGCACGCCTACAGGCACGCCTAAAGGCACGATTAAAGGCACCACGACTACAGGCAAAGGCACGACAAGTTGCACGACTAAAGGCACGACTAAGGGCACGAATAAAGGCACGCCTTAGGGCACGCCCACAGGCACGCCCACAGGCACGCCTAAAAGCACGTCTAAAGGCACACCTAAAAGTACGGCTAAAGGCCCCTGCAGGCATGGCATGACCTCGGGTGCATGACGCTGACCAGGCAGTCAATAACTGCTCCTAACTCTTTTAGCTTCATTTACTCACTGAGATAACTTTTCGCACAATCCTTTGACACCCCCCCCCCTAAAAAAATCAGAGAAAATCGTGTTTTTCCCTTGAGCCATCAATTCAGTGAAGCGTTCCAGTCGACGACAGACAGAATTACGACCACATTCATGGTCTGTTTCTCGGTCTCGTCCTCGTCCGTCCGCCCGCCCGTCCGTATGTTTTAGGCCCAACATCCCGCCCGCCAGCATTCACATCTAATGAACCCCATCACAAATCGATAATTCGCCTGTAGGCGTGCAATCCGGCGCACGCACGCCGCCGGGTATCGCGTCTCCAGGGCATGCAGTGCGCGGTCAGATGGGTTGCCTAACTCTTGGGCGCTCAAACCCTCCTCCGCATGGGGCCTCCCTGGATACATCCCGGCCCGGCGGGGATCATTCTGAGGATGATTCTCTGGGATTATTAAGGAGGCTAATTATGCAGCGTACGGCTCCCGGCGCGGCAGCTCCCGACCCCCCGCTGCCCCCCGTGCACTCGACGCGCCGCGCCGGCGGCCCCGCCCAGCTCCGCCCCGCCCTGACCCCGCCCCGTCCCGCCGCCGACCTGTCTCGGCCCGGCCCCGGCCCTGAATGTTGAATGAGTGTATTGTGGATGCAATGAGCCGGCTCACAAGCAGCGGACAAGAACTTGTATCAGGCCAGATCAGCTGTCAGGTCCTCCTCGCCGTGCCGTGCGGAGACGGGCGCGGCGGGGCGCGGCGGGGCGCAGAGGCGCGGGGCGCCAGGGGAGGGTGGGCGAAGCTGGCTGGGCCGAGCGGGCAGGCCGGCTGGTGGCGTGGGAAACGCGCGCGGGTCCAACCGAGTGGTATACAGAGCAGGTGCGGGCGCCGCCGCGCCGCGCCTCGCCTCGCCACGCCACGCCACGCCGTGCGACGCGTTGTGCGTGGATCTGGCGCCGAGCCGCGCCGAGTGTGGTGGCTGCGAGGCGGGGCAGGGGCCGAACAAACGGCGACTGGTAAATGAGGTGCTGCCGTACGCGGCCCGGCCCGGCGCCTGGCCGCCCCGCGGGGGGGAGGGGGGGGGGGAGGGATCGTCTGGGGCGCCGCGCACAGGGGCGGGGTGAGGAGGTGAGGGGAAATGCGGCGGGCGCTTCGCTCTTGCGATTCCCAACTTTATCAAGCCTGGCAGGGGCTGCACGGCGCCGCATGGCCCGCAGGCCCGGGACCGGGCGAGCCAGCAGCAGACACAACATTTTTATTTTCTCATGTTGCACCTCGTTTAACATACGCGACGTGGCGGGCGCTGGCGTGGGCTCGACGTGGTACGGGCCGAGCGACAGCGCGTGAACCGCCCGAAGAGGGAAGGGCGATCTGAGCGGCAAACGATCGAGGCGAAAGGGATGAACTGGGAATTAATATCACAAAGAAAAATGTTTGTAATCTAGAATCTAGTGCCAGCCGCACGATGTGCATAAAAAAATGAAAAGGGGTGATGTAATAACGAAAAATGGGACATATAATGTTGCTCAGTGAAGAGGAATGGAACGGGTCTGAATGAAAGTACGAATCAATGAAAGAACGAATGAATGAATGTACAAATGATTCAATGTACGAATGGTTGAATGTGAATGTATGTACGAATGTTCGTCCGTAAAAAATGAATGAATGTACAAATGAATGTACGAAGGGTTGAACGTACAAAATGAATGTATATACAAATGAATGAATGAATGAATGGCCTCTAACGCCTAAATAAACGGAAGATCGAACGCAGGAATGAATAAATGGAAGCATGAGGGGCAACAGGCAGAGTGCGGCCCGTAGAGGCTGGGCACCACCGGATGGGAGGGCGCCTACAGAGTCAGCGGGTCGGATGACTGCCGTGTCCGGACCGCGCAGAACTCACCTGACTTTGTGCTGACTGTGCTGGCGCTTGGCGGCGCTGGGTCGCTGGACGCTCATCACGCGAGGGTCAAAGTGCCGGCCCAGCTTGGCGCGAAGCAGCGTGGCGTTGAGGTCCCCGGGCTGCGGGTCGTACAGGCGGTCGGGGCGCTCCTGCAGGGCGGGCACCGCGCCGCCAGCGTGCGCCTGGCCACCCAGTGTCCCGGGGCCGCCTCCAGGTCGCAGGCCCAGACCCTCCGGTGACAGCGCCGTTCTCAGACGAGCGGGGCTGTGCAGGTCCGAGCCGTGCGGGGCGACCGTGTCCACGGCGGCGAGCAGGAGCAGCAGCGTCAGCAGCAGCAGCCTCAGGGCGGCGCACGACGACGGGCCGGGCGCCGCGGGTAGGCGCATCTGGAAGCACACACACACACGCGCGTGCGCGGTCACGATCACGATCACGACGGCAGCCGTCCGGGGCGGCGCAGTGCTGCGCTGCTGCGCGGTCAGCGGCCTCCCAACGGGCGGCGGCGGGGCGAGGACGGCGGCGGGCCGGACGGGGACGGGCACCGGGGAGGAGGATGCTCGTGCCCCTGGTGCCCCTCCATGCTCGTGGGAGGGAGGCGAGGGCTCGACTGGGCAGAGCGGAGCGTGGCGGCGCGCCGTGGCGTGGCGTGGCGCGGCGCTGCGCGGGGGGCGGGGGGAGCGGTGATGAGAGCGGCTGGGGGTGGGGTGGGCAGGGCCGCCCCTCCCCCCTCCTCTCTCCCTCTCTCTCTCTCGCCCTCGGACGGCTGGCGCCTGGCGCCACTACGGGCAGCGCGCCGTGGTGCGGGCGCCGTGCTGCGCCGTGGCTGGGCGCCGGCCGGGCCTGGGCCCCCTCCCCCCACACCACACCGGCGCCGTGCCCGGCCCGGCCCGGCCGGCACCACGACTCCGACTGCCCCCATCTGGCGCTTCCCTCCCCCCCTCCCCCATCTGCGTCGCGCTCCGCCACGCCCGTCTGCCCTTGACAACTCTTTACCATATTCGACACCCCGATATATTTTGGAATTCAAATCCTCTCTGCACCCGCTGCTGCTGCTGCTGCAAGCCGGCCAGCCGCAGCGAGTGTGCAAGGCTCGCGGACAGGGGCGGGGGCGCAAGGGGCGGCGCGAGGGGCGGCGCGGGGGCGGCGCGGGGGCGGCGCGGGGGCGGCGCGGGGGCGGCGCGGTCCCTGCAGTGCGGCGGCTGGCGTTGCGGCGGGAAGGACGCTGCGGTGCGAACCCTGGAGCACGGGGCGCCGTGGCCCTGCGTCACCGATCGCCTTTGGGCCCGCCGCAGACTACCACCCTTCTCTCTCTGTCTCGCCTGGCGTGCGAGCGAGACGGAAGTGGAGCTGTCGCGTCGGGGCGGTCTCACGTGACCCGAGGCAGCAGCGGGCGCAGCCGCGGGGAGCAGCCGACTCGCAGCGCGTCCCCATTGTACTTGTCCATACGATGACACGGCCGCTAATTCTCATACAATCTTCGTGTCCAGCCAAACGAGAGCGAAACGTCCCATCGCTCATACACATGGCCGAGGTCGTGCTGGTCAAGGTCGCATCTATTCTGGTAAGACAGCTGAACCCCCCCCTACACCCTTCCACCCTGCACAGAGCGGTCGCCGCGCTGGTCCGACATGCCCAACTGACAGTTCCTTTTGTTTGTCTAATCTGTCGTGCAACATAAGCAAATAGCTCGAGTCGGGTGCGGGACGTGGCCAGGTGGGCCCCTAGTGGACCCTGGGATCCAGCCCGGCCGTCCCTCCGTCGTCACCGACGTCCGCCCCTGCCCCTACGCCCCCAGGGTCAGCGTTCATAGACCTGATCCGCTCTCGACATTTAGAGACGGACCACATATTGAAAGTTAGTCGTCTGGCGGATATGACGGAGACGGGAGTGATGGCACATGTGCTGAATGTTGCGTGATGAACAATACTCCAGTTCCTTATTTATTTACCGAGTAAGACCCTATGAAAAATTCGCCTCAATCTTTCTCAAAGATAAGGTGTCTATGGCCTATGGTCCTCGTCATAGCGTATATAATAGAGAAGGAAGTGATAAGCGCAGGAGCTGTGTAATTGGGTTTCTATTCCGCTACAGGAAATCAGGGACATAGAGACGGAAAGCATGACCAACCTAGAGAAGAAAAGTATGACTGCTCGAACTGTTTCCTTCTGCGCGCTCCGACACACCGACGTCATCGTCGACCAATCGCGTTCAGGAGGAAACAGATCGAGCGGTCATGCTTTTATAGACCATTTCAGGTTAGGTGATAAGAAGAAGAGAAACAAACTGGAAAAGCACTGCCTTCTAATCGCTCCACACCCACCGCCACCGCCCCTCGCCTAACTGTTTCCTATTTCGGTTATTATTTTCTTCTTCTTGTCACCGAGACTGAAATGGTCTATTCTTCAGGTTCCGATGGTTGTCTTCCAGCGGAATAAGCTACAGTGATGAATATATACTCCAATTTGAGTTCCCATAAATCAGGAAATGTCCTTTCATGAAAAGACAGAATGATTTTGTGGGTCGTTTTTACAAATCCTCACATGACTTCAAAGCATGTCCGAAGTGTGGACGTTGCAAACGCGTGCGTTCATTTATGTCCAAATAATTTGAGCTAAGTTTATATGGACGTGGTTCATCAAAGTGCGATTTTGTTGGATGTTTTTCCTGTGGACGCGTCGGTCCCGCCAAAGGGCGCGGTTAGCGTCGTGCCGAGCAACTGGCCACAAGGGCCGCATGAGCCGGTAGCGGCAGGCACTTCATGTGCTTCATGCCATGAACAACATGCTTCCCGTGGCAGTTCCATGGCGCCGGCGCTCCCTATCGTCTGGGCCATCCCGAGGCTCAGGTCGAGCCCCGGCCAGGCCAACAAAGACCAGACCGGCCCAATTTCCAATCCAGGCGGGCCCATGCGCGTGAGGAAAAGTATTGTTTCTTTTTAGCAGATGATACCTTGAAACACTTCATACTTAACATTAAAATACATTAGTAATATCAAGGTGTCAGCAGCTTTAACTCTCCATAGTGGAAGAGAGGTAAAAGAGAATCAAGCGGAGACCAGAAAAACAATTTTTTGGCGCTGGCGGGACCGTGTCCGGGTGAGTGTCGCGCCAGCCCCCTCCCCTTACCCAGCCTAACAATACGGGCTCTGGCGGGACCGTGTCCGAGTGAGTGTCGCGCCAGGCCCCTCCTCTTACCCTCCAACCCTGCCTAACAATACTGAGGCTCCCGCGGCTTCGCTTCCGCTAAATTACGTCAGTTTTACTACTTATACCCATTACTTTCATGGATTTCAATCAATTGCATTTTGTCTGTCAAGTGTGCGACTCTAATAAGATTTGCTTATGTTACGAATCTTTGGTTTCCTAATTATTACACTATTCAGGCGTACAGACACATGTACCCTACCCCTACACTACCACAAGTCTTTATAATAATCACTGACAAAGAAACAAGTAAGACATCCAAAAATTATGCAAAACCACTAGAAATAAAAACCATTCTATGAATATTAAAGCACAGGTTTACTATGGTATTAAAATTGGTATCATCTGCTTTCAAGATAGATTCTTGATTTAGATTTTTCTCTCTTTCTTTAGAAAGGGGAGGGGAGGTATGTTGTGCTTACGTAGACGTGGTGAGGCCATGCAGGTCACAATAAGCTAGCCCAAATGGGAAAAAACGAGTGCGGGGGTAAAAAGGCAGGTAATTATGTTACGAACAAAACTATATATCGTCTCAGACAGCAAGCTTGTGCACCAACGCGACCTCTCTCAGCTAGCTGTAGACTTTGTGCCACCCCTTTTCCCCTCCCTCCTCGTCGCGGCCCTCGCTCGCTGTTAGTGGCGGCGCCCGCGGCCTGATCGCGCGGTCGGTCCGGCCCGCGGGCGTGCTGTTCCCGGGAGTCCACGCCGCGGACGGGAGGCACGCGATGTGCCAAAGAGGAGACCCCGCACCATGACGTCATGGGGCACGTCAGCCCGTGTGAGTCACGAGGAGGCTACTTCGCTCGCGGACCTAGAAGACTCGCACGGCACATTCCCCTTTGACCGGCGGGACGGCGCGGAGCCCCCCTGGAGCCGCCGAAGCGCGGCTTGAGCGGCCGGGCCCGGGCCGGCCGGCCGTCGGGCTGCTGGTGGGCGGCTTTGGGCGCCACCGGGGCGGGCGCCGCGCGGCCCGTGTCCCGCGGTCGAGGCAGTCGCGGCCAAACGCGCTGTTGGGGCCGACGCGACCACGCGTATGGCTGTGGCCGTTGATCCCGCACCGTGAGGCCGACCACAACACGACCGACCGCGACCACGATGACAGGAGATGAACTGCCGTCTCGGGAGAGCGGGCGCTCCTCACTGGAAGATCTGGACCGGGAGGTGGAACCGCCGCGCGCTGCCGCGGTGGCGGGAGCCCCGGTAGCCTGCGTCCCCTCCCCCTCGCCGTCACGGCCCCGGCCCCGGCTCCGGGCTCCGGCGCCCACAAGGGTATCCCGTCCCGCCCCGGCTCGCCTCCCGATCTTATCTGGGAGACACTTGTCGTACAGGATGTTTCCGCAACAAGCGAGCGATTTACGACAGCCACGATCAGACCCATAATCCTTTGCGAAGCCTTTATCTTTTTCTCGTCTCAAAAACGTTTCTTCTCAGGCAAGACACACACACGTACATGAATACATACAACTCTTTGTGAGTCACGGATTACAGCCATATCAAAGGAAAACATGTCTGGGCGAAAAGAGAGGGAAAAGACGAAGTGCGGTCTGTGGCAGGGAAAGGGGGAAGGATGGGGGGGAGAGTGGGGGTCCAAGCCCATCTCAAAGCCAAAGGATTCCCGAGGTAGCCGACACACGCCGACACACGGCCAGTACACGGCTCGAAACTCGTTCGAAAGCTTGAAATTGGTTTTGTTCCTTTCTCGGACCTTCTGATCAGCTTAGAGCGTGCGGCGCTGGGCCCCGGGAGCGCGCAGCCTCCTCGGCAGCCTCTCGGTCCGCCTGGACCAGGCCTGGACGTAAACAAGATGACAGCCGAGGGGGGCGGGGTGAGGGCCGGCGAGAGGCTAATGCGGCTCGACTCGCGCTCATTGTGTCCGAGGAGACCGCCTGCTCGCAAACCCCAGCTTCAAACGGGGTGATAAGACAGACGCACAGCAACGACACCTGCGGCGGCGTACGCCAGTTAGTCTGAGGGGTGACCATGCTGACCAAACCCGCCACGCCATATGAGATCCGAGGCGTCGACGACTTGCGGATGTTCATGGGTCAAACAATCATTGGTATTCAATACTTATTTTTAGTCGATATTCACTAATATTCACGATGTTTCATTCGTTCGTATTCATGAAATTCCCAAGGATTCAAATCCACATTTGACTTTGAACTTGTGATTGTTCAATTATA